TGCGTATTACTATAATTAGATATATGTACGAAACCTGGATATAACGAATCCCTCGATATAACGAAGAAAAGTGTCTGTACCGTCTCCTTCGTTATATCCGGTTTCACTGTGTATATAGATTCTCAAGCTCTAGATTAATTTCCAGCGAAAAATAGTATGTATTTGAATATTTTACAGTATCACATATACTTTACAAAATTGAAACGTAAACTCCTCTCCTTTGCTGTATCTTTGCTTACGTGTTTATAAATGGGGTTTCAGTCAGACATGTGTGCTTGATTGAGTCTCACTCGGGATTATCCGTTAAAATTAAAATAATTTTTTTATTATCGTATGACTGTGTGCTTAATTGTGAGGCAATTAAACTCTATAATAATAAATAATAGTTTTTAATAGAATTTTTTAGAAAGCATCGTCTAACAGACATAGTCACAATAGACGCTCGAACAGACCAAGATAAAATGGTAACTTCTGATTGGTGCAGAGCAGAGCACATGCAAGGTTAATTGTGGGACTGATGAAATAGATGCTGTGAAGAGAGAAGACTGAAATTGATTATGTACAGGACGGGAATGAACTAGTTTTTCTTTTCTATCGTGATTGGCAGACTTTTATGACTTTTGACGTAACCAATAAAAGCATAGCAATAGATTCCTGGAAATGCGGAAGAACTAATGCTTAAGGGACTATACATTGACGCGAGGAACTACTCTATCAAAACGAAGAGAACACTATATACGCACTCTTTAAAGCAATTCTTTAGAATAGATAAAATGAAATATGAGCTTTTATATAACTAAAGCCAGATAATAATGGTTTCGACTTTTTAGAAACAATCAGCAGACGTTTATGTAAATGGTATGATAATTCGTAACAATCAGCAGATGGATATCATAAATAATCTTCTGCTCCCATTGTTTGTATTGGTGCGTATAATATACGTTTAAGTTTTGCTATATACGTGTATAGACTGATAATTTAGAAAAGCAATTGTAACGAATGTAAACAGTCAGTTAATTGCCCAAATAAATTTAGTTATTGTTATTTTCTGGTCTTACTATTGGTGCATCTTACCTTGTTTCCAAGTAATTCTTCACAATGTGAGCAGGTCTCTTTTGCAATGTCTGATAATTGTTGTAACTTTCTCCGTTAGTGGTATGATAAACACAAATTAAATTATGTACGTCTATCCCTATCTCTCTCTGTGTGTGTATACATGCTATACATAGTATATGTGACTTCATCGCTAAAAAATTATTTTGCGTTACAACTAATCGCCATTCTGTTTGCTTTATAAGCCTTGCGAAAAACCAGCAATTGCTAGATGGCATGATTTCTCGTAGTACAAATATAAATAAGAATACATCCAGGCGCGGACAGCCGAAAATAGAAAAACGACTTCATTACTCGTAACAAAAGTAATTACCAACGACTAATTTAGTGCGCCCAACGGATTTTAGTTATTATAACAAGCATTGTTCTCCGCAATGTCGCTCTACTAGTCTGCTCGGTGTGTGAAAGTCGAACCAAAAGAACAAGCACAAAGACTTAAATGCTCGAGTAAAGAAAATTCTCATGCTCAAGATTGCGAATTGTACCACATGACACCAATTTGGGATGCCAAGTCGTCGTTATCTTTTGAATATGAATAACATGTACATATAGTATGAGTTTGAGATGGAAATAGACAAACCGTACATATTTACTATCTAGCACATGTCCCTGAATTGGCTAATTGTAACCCGCCCTTTGTGTTGAGATCGGTCGCTTGCAGCAGTTGGAATTAATAATTTCAATATTAATTTACACAAACGACCTTCTCTGGAAAGTATGAAAGTATAATGGGAATGCTTAAATTGTTGTGGTAACACAATGAACTAAAACTGTTAGTCAGATATGATTGTTTATCTGTGCGTAATTAGATGCAGAGATCAGTCGTGTAACAAAAGCTTTAAATCTCGATAAAGTTTAGATGAAATAAAATGACACCATTAACTCTTTTTAGTATTCAGACATTCGATTTTACTATAATTGTTTATTGTAGAAATGCCATCTGCTACATTTTAGTATTTAATATTCTAACAAGAAAGTTTATGGGGCATTACCTTATGTAGCTCCCGTCATCATTTTGCGGTAGTCCTCCAGTATTCTATTTGATGTGTCTCCCAACGAGACAATCTTTACGAGTAATGATTCTTCACCAAAAATAAAATCGCCAGATATAACATCACATTGACATGCGATGCTCTACTGCTTTGTCCTTTTGGCTTGATGAATATACAATTCGGTCACATAGGCATTGTATCAAAACAAAGCAATTTTGTTAGACTACTTTTGAAGTAAACAGGCAAATTCCTAATAATTATTTTAGCAAGTAGCACGCACTTGGCATCTTTTATTACGGAACTTTCGAAGAAACATAAATAATATGCTATGCCAACACATGTTTTTAATAATTGTATATTAAATAAATATACAATTCCGTGTATATCAACATTATAAATTGTTTGTTACAATAAGTTTATACTGTAATTATTTCCTAAAATATAAAATCCTTTTTGATTCTGGGTTATTATTATTACACCTGTTGCCATTCAGCGTTGCCAATAGTACAGTACACGAGTAACATTTCTTTAGATTAAATCGCGTACAAATAATACGTATATAAACGGATGATTTCCAATTTACTGAACTTTGTTCTATCATACTCTACACCATCGTTTAACTCGAAAGAGAATTCTCAGTCGTTAGACTGACAAGCCATTCATTTATATATCGCCCTCCTTCTTTGGTAATTGAAAGGTAGAGTTGGAGAGACTAAAAGCGTCGTGTTGGCAATGGAGACTACAATAATTAGTGAATTAATTTATCCAATTTCCCGTATATTCATCGTCTAATGCTAATTTGCCATTATAGCCTACAACAGGATGCGTCTCTCGTTGGTACTATTCGTAGCAGTATTGCTGGCATCAGCAAATGCTCAACAATGTGGCAGTAACGGGGGCGGAGCTTGTAAGTACATCGGTACTCGCATAAAACTCGGAGATTTCTACATTTCGAGCGCTTATTACGACAAACTCTAGTGAATTATTCCATTACCTATTCTGACCACCTTTTTCATTCACACAGCATGCTCGGCTGGCCTATGTTGCTCACAATGGGGGTAAAAATAGCTACTTTTTTATGACTTGAATATATGACTGGTGTATTATACAATCTACTTACGAAAGGAATCTACTATAAATACAGATGGTGTGGTACCACTAGTGACTACTGTGGTACTGGTTGCCAACCAACCTTTGGATCGTGCACGGGCAAGACAACCACCACCACCAAGACCACCACCACCACTACCAAAGCCTCGACCACCACCACCGCCACTAGTACGGGCAAAGTCTCTACTAACGGTCAATGTGGCTCAAACGGAGGCGGAACTAGTAAGTATATTCGTCATATCAATACATGACATGGGTCTTGCAGATTCACATTCTCTGAACCAATCCTCTCTTTTTATAATACAGTATGTCCGTCGAGTCAATGCTGTTCTCAGTATGGGTAAGCCTTATTTTCCTTTTCTATGACGTGATTGATGCATATAATATGTAGCCCTTCGTATAAAGCTAACATTATAACAGTTGGTGTGGTACCACGAGTGCATACTGTGGCACCGGTTGCCAGTCAGCCTTCGGCTTTTGTACAGGCAAGACAACTACCACTCCCACCACCACCACCACCACCACCACCACTTCGACTTCCACCACTACCACCACTCCGACAACACCCGCAGCTGTGCTCAGCACATGTTCAAAGTCTGGCACATTCGCTCTTACCTTTGACGATGGCTCGACAGAGGTGATTAATTTTATATTATAAAATAACAATAACTGCATTCATTTTATTGTTTAGATGATGCTTAATAACTCTTTGTTTATGTTAGATCACAAATACTCTGTTGGACACTCTTAAGTCAAAGGGGGTGAAAGCCACCTTCTTTGTAAACGGCCTAAATTATAGGTGCATCTATGACATGGCCGACATAATCAAACGTATCGTGGCTGTAAGTATAACTTGATAACCAGCTCAAGACAAGTGGTGCTTTCAACAACAAACATGAAATTTTACATTTTTTATTTACATCACTATAGGAAGGTCATCAGCTTGGTAGCCACACTTGGGATCACGCAGACCTTACTACGTTATCCGATACTCAAATTCGTCAAGAAATGACAAAACTCGAGACTGCTTTTCGCAAGATTGTCGGAAAAGTTCCCCGCTATATGCGTCCGCCTTATGGTTCCATCAACGATCAAGTCCGCCGCGTACTTGGGTCACTCGGTTATACAGCTGTTCTGTGGGATATTGATAGCGGTGACTCTTTAGGAGACAGTGTAAATGAATCGGAGCAGATTTACACAGATAACGCTATCTTTCCGACTCCACATTGTGCACTCAATCATGATCCGCTTTCCACTACTGTCAATCAGCTTGCACCGTTCGCAATTGACTTGCTGAAAGGCAGGGGATACAGTTTGGTAACATTCGGTCAATGTATTGGAGACAACACGGGGTGGTATAAGGAGACAACGACACCCGGAACTAGAGATAGTACATGGGTATGTTAAAGAAGCGTGGCGATAATACAACAATAATAGACATTAGTGTAAAGTTGCTTAGTGTAAAGTTGCTTAGAAAGGGATTTCCTTTATTTCGTTCAAAGCACCTTTTGTGTATAAGTAGTTAATAATAATATATTTAATAAATCTAAATCTTAGAACTGTAATTTGTTTTGGAGGCGAGTTCATCCATTGTTTATTCTGTCACACATTGAATACTATCTAGATCGGTCCATACCTTTATCTCAAATCGAACGCTGGTTATTATTGGTTCGTTTGTTGCAAAACGTTTCCTGACGATCAAGCACATCGTCCAACGGTCATCTGCACAGTTTCTCACAAATATTTGGTATTGTGTTCGATCTTTAATGGAGAGTGGAAATTGCCCAGCCCATAGTCCCACTCTGAATAAATGAACGAGTGTATAGAATATGCTATATACATTTCTCGCCATATGTTCGAGTTGGACATGTTAAACTTACTGGCCTGGCACTAGTGAATGAATTACTTGGCTCTCGTAACCGTACAACAATGCTGTTGTTTAGGAGGGCAAATGAACGAATAACAATTCTTGTTTGCAAACAAACATCTCCGCATTATAGTTACGAACGCCAGATAAGAATTGAATTTGTAGATTGCTTTTCAAGCAAGTTGGACACACTAAAATTTATTTGTAATTACAAAGAAACAAAAATTATATTAACACATTATCACCAACCATGAAATGACCCAACAGTGCTAAGATACACGTGATATACATCATTTATAACTAAGTTGAATGAATCATTTATCGTTATGCACTACAAACGGTTTCGGAAGTGGATGGCATAGTCATAGTCATGCATGCACTATCAATGCGTAAAGACGAATTCGTTACTTTGGACGTCCAACCTTCGTTTATAGTGAAAAGTATGGCAGTAAAAATGCTACCGAAATTGGTGCCTAAAAGTCGACACAATATTCCCAAGTCAGATTTCGTGTGTGCAAACGATCCAATCCAATACAAACAACGTTATCCTTGTTGAGCTCACCTATTGCTAATATCAAGTACTTCCAAAATTTGCGATCCTAACAAAAACAAGTTTTCAATAACTCGCGTAAGTAATAATCTTAAAGCTGTAAATTCTTTTTTAAATTTCTCTTACCTGCGCAACGCTTGCACTTATATATATAAAGAGAAATACCTAGTTATTAAGAATAACCAAGATTAGTCAATATGCAGATTCGTTTACAAAGTTGATTCTGGCATGGCATATGTCCAGGATATACGTACCCACTTCAAAATGAATATACTCAGATATCCGGCAACCTTTTTGGCTGTATCTCGATCATCATGCACGCTCTTGGCCATTGCATGTCCACGCAACACACTTCTTTCTATTTTCCATATTTTTCTCCTAATCAGTACTAGGCATATAACCACAACAAGTAGCGTCACCAACAGCACCGAATCAACGAATAAAGCTGCGACTGAGCCATCAGGCAGTTCGGTGCAGTCTGTGTTGGTAAACGAGAGAGCAGAGAATTTCAGATCAAACATTTGTTTAATAACAGCCTTTGGTCCAGAATCGTTTTAATTTCACTTACAGTATTCGCTGTTTCCGTAATCGTTTCGACATAGACAGGCCATAGCAAGTACTATTATAATTATTACAATCCAAGCTTGGTAATCGTATGACCCTAGCCGCGTATGGGTTTTTCGATATGCCTTAAAAGATTGTGAAATAAATAAATAAACAAATATATATATACATATATACATACATACATATACGCTTAACAAAATACTAGTAATTTGTGTATAGTAATAGTTACCCTCAAACAAGCTATAATGCTCATATATACAAATAGACCAACGTTTAGGCATAGAAATATGAGTTCAAGAACTGCAAGTATATTGCAAGTTGGCTGCGGCCACTTTTTTTTATAGACTGTCGAATGCGTCTTCAAATATGGATAGTGCATTAGAACATATGGCCAGAATAAGAAACCCAATATTCTGTTGAACTAAACCGACTTTTTATTTCTTACCATATCAACAAGGCATACTAAACTTGCCATGATGTCTAAATATACAAATGTTATTAGTATGGGGAGAGGGAGGTTATGCGCAATCACAATCAGACATAGTCATGGCAGATAAAAGCACAGCAAAACAGAATATTGTTTATCAGAAAATAATAACGACTATGTGCAATTAATTGGTGTTCAATATTGTCGAGTTTTTTTCTCCCTTTCTGATTTACCTGTAATCGAATTGGAAAGCGGCAGTCGTAATGTGATTGGAAGTTCATCTTTGCTTTTTTTGTTCTTGCTCCTCCAGTAACATACTCTTCCAATCACATAAAACGAACAAAGTAAACTACAGCCTAATATTATAGGAGTAAATACGATTATGTACTGCAAATGAGACAGATCAGGGCGAGGAGAAGAGTAAACATGTTCGTCGATGGCTCGGCCATAGACGTAAGGAAATAATACAAATAATAATAGGACTTTTGGAGTCATTAGAGTAATTAAAAAATACATAAAATAATAAAAAGAGGGTGGGTGTTTGTAGAAAAATGTAAATGTTACTTAATACCAGTAAAAGATGCGGTGGTAATCGTAAAATATTCTTTGCCCAAGTCTTGCATAAACATATAGTACTTAGCAAGTCAGTGGCAAAGAATAGGAGCAAGATGAATAGCGGGCGTGAGATGATGAGAGCAGGGGAACAGGGCGGCTTTTTGACAGTTATTTATTTATTTGTCCCTGTGTGTGCCGATTACGGGATTGCCATAAATGGTTAGGCAGAAATGATATGATCGTTCATGACATACGGAACACAATAATAATAAGAAGGTCAATAAGCGGAATAGTGACAACTTTCGGTAACCATGATCATAGGCTACAAATTAACCAATTTATTTTCCCCACACATGGTTATCTCTCGATATGATGTTTCCGATCCGGATTTGTCGGATGCATAAAATTGCAAATACATTGTATTTTCGATTTCTGATCATTGTGTAAATTTATTTAGAGTCTAATCTATAGTAATAGATCGTGCGTTCTATCGTCAGAAATTGTCTGGATGTAACAAAAAATAACGATACATGTTAATGTAATGGTTAGCATCGTGAGTGATATCTTTTGCCTTAGAGTTACCGCGATCGCGATAGGCCACCTAACCTGCAAAAGTTATCGATTATATCATCGATAAAATGTATGTCTTGATTATTGAGTATGGGGTTTATAACCGATTAGCGGTCACAGGGTTGCAATTGAGAAATGTCGGTCTAAAGAGGAGGACAGAACAATACAGTTATTAGTAACGGTTGGTGTATGTTTGTGCTGTGCTGTGCTGTGCTGTGCTGTGCTAAACCACAGCTGTCAACAATTTGTTGTACGCGTGCAAAGGGCAATGTCAATCAAAGGGCATTTTAATTTCCCTTGCCTTTGATTATTGTACATTGTTTTAGTTAAAACATTTTCCTTCTGCATGACAAGAGAGCATGACAGTTATGCAGTCATTACCTGCTGCCTACTAAAATTTCTTTACCTTTTTTAGTCTTCATACAAGTACACGTGTATGTGTGTGCAAATCACTCGAACCTGTTAACATAAATCGTAAATAGAAACTTATCAGTGGATCAAACAGAGTAGTTTGATGAGGATTGGATAACTTGTATGCGATTGGTCAAGTCATGTGTTACATAATAATAATGGTCATAACGAACTCGACTTATGGTATAGTAACACTGTGTACAAATTTCGGAGTAATTGACTTTGTTTCAGCCACGCTGACGGTCGACTAGTACACATTAATACTAGCAAACCGTTTTAAAAAGAACTCGTTTTACCGATGTATTTACAAACCGAGTCTTGATTGTCCAATACCTAATATTAGCAATGCTGTCAAAATTGGGCAATCTTCGTTTTTTTTCCCTTTAAAACTCCGACATTCGGATTATATGCAAATCGGGAAAAGATTAGAGACTTAAAAGCCTCATTTTTATTCGGTCACCATTTTATCCTACTTAAACTTTACTGGTTTGCACATCGGGCATGTTATTATGTACGATCATAAGGTCACACCTAGTTTAATCCTGCATGCAAAAAGCAGATCGTACCCCTCCTCCCCTGTATGAAACGAAAGGCGGGGTTTGCCTAACCATAATAACGAAAGGGTTATTACTCCTTCTTCTACTTCTTCTTCTTCTTCTTCTTAGTATGTATTGGTATATATGTAAATAATCTACTACGTCATTATGCTGTTCCCTGTTTTGGGTGACGTTAACCAAATTTAATAAATCGATGTGATAAAATGTAAAATCGACAACAAGGCGGCATGGCACAATGTCTGGTCGATGCTCAGATCATGTCCGCTGTTTATCCTTTCTAAACAATAAATAATCGATTTCATCGAGCAAACAACATTTGTTGCTCAAGTTGTTTAGAAGACGGTGATTACACATTTTCGTTCTGTCTATCCTTTCACAAATAAAGTTTTATTGACTTTTCCGTTATTAGTTTTTATTCATTTACCCTTCCGCATGAGTATTTGCTTATCCAATTATATCTTTGACTCTTTATTCTCGTCCCTCTTACGTGCTTTATCCTTTTTTGGTTTGACCGTCCCTTGTTAAATTTAACTTCTTTGCAATACTGCGTTACAATGTCCCTAAATTGTCTACGTTAAAAAGGTATCCTTGCTGTGCATCCCAAAGGTTTTTGAAAGCAAAATTATGTAATCACTGTACTACAGCATTTACCCGAGAGTCCCGTCAATGAGGTAATATATTGAGGAAAGTGTTAACGATTTGCAGAAAGGAAACTTGTCATAAAAACTGATATAAGCAGGTACAGTATTATTAATTATGGATAACCATTTGCTAAACTAATACAAATACAAATTTGCGTATTTAATATTTAATACATTGCAATTTGTAGTAATTTCCAAATAATTTTTAAAATGAATTCTAAAAAGTATTTGTGCCAAAAAAAGCTATGGCATCAAGCAATTACTGATAAAAGTATATTTTTACTTATAGTAATAGCATGCAACCTGGAGGTTGTTTGCGACTTACTAAAAATAACTATTAAGCTATTGACACTTACACATATTCGAATTTTTAATATCAAATTCATTTAATAATATGTAAATATTGTCCAAAACCTGCAAGCAAGTTTCTTGTACTTGCGTTCTCAGTAACTTGACAACTCGAAATTTTATCAAAATTCTCATATTGATTAGACATAGATTAGAACTGTTTAAAAATATATGTATTATAATTTTAAAATTTTTTTTCTGAACAATCATCTAGAACAAGTATAGAAATGTTAAAATATTATTGGGCATGTGAATGTGTATTCTCTTCCAAGACACTATTCGTTGTAAAGACATTTTCCTCAAATGCGGCGGCAGAGTACTAGAATTAATAGGGGCCTTTTCCTTTTTCTATTGCTTTTTCGTATTTAAAGCTAAACTAGAGACACTAAGTCGATTTTGAAATATGCAATGTTTATCACGTTTCTGAGAAAATGTAAGGCTGTGCCAATCGTTGTGACTGAAAACTTTGCAACTACGACATTATAGTAAAACCTTGCCTCGGTTTATCAAGCTCAAATTTTACATAATAATATTAATATAGGTTGTGAATGAAATAATGTCGAGTTATCGTTTTTGTATTGATCGATTTTTACTAGTTAGTTATCAATCTGGACAATAGAAATTTGTTCAGTCAAAAACCCAAATTTATAATAATAATTTAGTTGTCTTTCAAATTTTATTTTCCTTGGTAGTGGCAAATGTTGAATTAATTAAGGCCTTAAAATTAATTTTGCCGATCTTTAGCTCTAAAGTTTAATTTTATTTTAGTACCGAGTTGGCCATAAATACACACCTCAAGCCTTTTGGCATGCTCTTAATCAAATTGTAATACGTTTGATGAGTAATCAGTGACCAGAACTCTGTGGCGTTTTTGGGCGCTTTTCACGGTGTTCAATTGGATTAAGGTCATGAGATTGAGACAGCCAGTCAGGTAAAATTTTCCCTAATCCGATTGGTAACACCTTTCGCTGTATGCACAGGAGCATGGCCATCTAGCATTGTCAATCTTGAACGCATAACCTTTTCCATTAAAATATAATTCTGATGATTCATCTTTCTATCCACTCGTACTAATGGCTTCCTGAAAAGCATCCCATTATTTCACTACTACCGTGTTTAACTGAAGGTACAATATTTTCAATATTGTACCGTTCTCCATACACGAATTGGATCATCACTTTGAAGCGAGATTCATCACTCCAGATAATGCCTTTCCACTTTCTAATGCCCAATTTGACCTTGTGGTTTTAGAGTTGTATTTATACGTGTTAATGTAGGCCTTTAATGCATTGTAAAAGTTAATCAATTGTTAATAAAAATTTACCTTATTTAACATGTTTTTTTAAATGTCTTTTTAGTACATCTGTGCAAACAAAGCGAAACATTAACGCATGACTATACAAATACATAATACAATACATTTACGATTCCCTTTCTCAAAGAATTGAGCAAGATCGAAAAAGTTCGGCACCCAATATAGCACGCTTAATAAGGCGAGTTTCAGGCTATTGGCTGCTCAGAAGAGCAGTTATTACATATGATAAATCCGTGTTCCTTGACTTTAGCACCAGACAAATTTTCGGTACAGCAAATCTCAGTATTAATAATCTAATAAGTCGTTGTGCATTTACTCTTTGGTTTGTCGCGTAGCGTTTAAGCTTGAAAGATTATCCATATTAATTAGTGATTATCACGTTGCATAATAATAACAAATATGGAATATCCCTTAATAAAATTATGCACTTTAATTCAAAAAAAGTATTTTGGTGGGCGAGGCAAACCGTTTCCGTTTGACAAAAAAAAACTCATCGTTAAAGTCCGAGTTTGATGGCCATAAGCGTTTCTATAAAAGTAGCAGTCAATTGCTGCAGGGCAAACTGTAGTCTAAAAGGCTATTGAATGACAAATATTAGTAGATATTGTATTGCGTTATCGGCAATGTCCACGTTTGCCTACAAGGAGGAGAAAAGACATCTTTATAATATTACGACGTAATCGTAGATATTGTATTGCGTTATCGGCTATTTCCACGTTTACCTACAAGGAGGAGAATAATATTACGACTGCTATGTCCACGTTTGCCTACAAGGAGAAAAAGACATCTTTATAATATTACGACTGCTATGTCCACAAGGAGGAGAAAAAGACATCTAATACAAAAAGAGTATGGAACTTGCAATTTAAAGTATGGTACAGCTTTTTAATAATTGCTTAGTAAGTCTCTATATTTAAACTAAATTGACTAGCATTAATAAAGTTTAATGTTTATTTCATTTCTTCTCTGGAGAGTAATTATTTTCCACATACGAATGAATGCAAATCGAGCATACATGTATAGCATATTTCTACACAAAGACTATCGTATTGTATGGTCAATTGCTCATATTATTCGATGTATACTGTATATATGATGTATTATTTGTTGCAAAAATGATAACCCGAATCATTAAGTAGATTTGTGGCCAAGGAGAGAGTTCCACGTACTATTTGTTACGTTGTATTGGGGAAGGGGGGGGGAACATCAAAGAATTCATCAAAAACCATAGTGTGGGAGAGCAATAGTCAGATAAAGAGATCTATCGATATTAGTATTATGTAATCCGGTTAACAAATAGTAAAGGTGATACTGTAGTAATAGCTGCATGCACATTCTATAACTCTTACACAAATAAATATTTATAATTATTTCTGTCAGTTTCCCAAGCAGTTCCCAGCAGTTCCCCCGTCAAATGGAAGCTTCTAATAACAAAGGTGTGACAATCCTGAGTGAGCGTTTGGGTTAGGCACGGAAGATAAGAATAGTAAAAGTGGGGACAGAAAACGCTCTATTTCTATCTTTACAGCGATTATGCCTCCTGCCAAGAAAGAACAAGAGATATTTCGATAAACAGTATTTTTATCCACTGTCTTTGTTTATCATCGTGTCACACTTGTGTTTGAAACGATCATTACATTAGTGTTGCTTGGTTTGGTATGCATCATCGTGATCATTTACAAACATGATAAACACATACTTATAAGTGAGTGTTTTTTGATAGTTTCACACAGATTGATATTATCATGGCAAGCTGTTTATTTCTTGTCTTACTTATTTACTTTTACAGCATCCATAAACGTAAATGGTCAATTTAAATGCCTGTGTCTCACAAATCCCGCATAACATCGCATTGCAGGCCTTACAGCTATATACAGAGATCAATCCGCAATCCTTTGATTCAGGGCATTGCAGGCAGGAAGTAACACTGCGTCAAAACAAATTGTTACATTACCCGTCATCGGCAAGTCTTTCTCTCTCTCCCCTAAACGATTCATTCTATTAAAGACATTTTTCTAGATTTGCTATATATGTTGAAACGTATATACAAATAATCGATTTCAATCACTGAATCGTCTCCCCACTCACTCTTAGACTATAATAGTCAACCAATTTATTAATTTCTCAAAGCAAGCCATTCACAGCAGACGTCAAAAAGCACTTATCAATCACACATATCACAATGACGACCACACCGTCTTATCCAACCTTTCGAGACAACCCAGACATGCGTGGTCGATTTGACGATGATAATACATCCAACGCAAGTCTTTCTGGCAAGCGAGAAATGTACAATAAACAAGAACAGCGCGGTACTGAAGACGCATCTCCAAAATTAAGACCATCATCACTGCCACATGTAGCGCGAATGCCTACATTGCAACATCAACGCTCAATGTCATCTCCCGAATCAGATATGTATATGCAGAATATGCAGAATGAAGACTTTTCATGGTAGGAACTGATAATGAATTTGGATGATATTAGTGAGTGAGTGGGTAGGGGATGTGGTGGGCGTGTGTGTTGGGCGTGTGTGCTGAGCGTGTGTGTTGGGCGTGTGTGGTGGGCGTGTGTGGTGGGCGTCGTCTAGTATGATTGTTGGGCTGGACTGCACTATCGCCTTTTGACATTAATCTCCGTTTTTCAATGCATGCCTGTTTAAATAGTCCTATATGTTTTCACACGATTAAAGAAGCATTCCTCGGTAGATGTGGGCATTCGTTCTGGTAAATACACAGTTGAAGGCACAGCTGTTTCTCGTATGCGAGAGAAATCATGGTTAAATGTGTCTATCGCTTTATCCCCGCTTTATAGTTACATCTGTATAACCGGCCACTTGGAACGTAAACGTGATTGTCCGACTTGTGGATGTCCTTTAATGCGTGATCAGATATATCCCAACTTTCTATGTGAGTATAGTGACAGACGCTTTAGCTACATAATCTAGTTTCCGATCACTTGCTTATCAACCTTTTTTTCACATATCAATCCAGTAAACAGAATTCTAGAGAAAACTCCAGGATCGCCTGCTAGCCCATTCGATGGCACCGTCTCACCCACAACAAAGCATATGAGATCTGCCATCTTGGCAAGTAACTTAAATGCAGACGGTTAGTTAGTCACGTGAAATTCATCGTCTGATTATATTTGAATGGGACGCGTACTTTCCTACGATTTTGGTTTGACTGATATATTCCAACCATTTGCATTACCCTAGACATCAATTCAATGATAGTGACGTTATTAAATAAGAAACAACGCATAGAATCTGCAGAGAGAGAGGCTGAACTAGATATTTTATCGGATTTCCTATCGAAAGTCAGGGCAAAAAAAGAGTCGGTGAGTAAAAACCATAGTCTAGAAATGAATGGGCGGCAACATTGAATAGAGTGCTGATTTCATGCTTGTCTCATTGCTTTATCCCGTTTATTTAGAAATTGATGAAATTACAACAAGAAATTCAATGTCTGAATGGCGACCTGTATACGATACAAGAAGAACTCAAACGCATCGCACAAAAGCAGAAACGAGCGGTATTATTTGACGACGAGACAATAGCAGATAATGGAAGTGTCTTGATTGGTTTTCCTTCATCCAATGATTCGGCAGAGTCTGACGTTATTGATAGTTATCAGCATAAGGATGTAAGATATTTAACCTCCGAACTTTTGAGTGGAACATTAGTGAGGCGAATGCATTTTTATTTTTATTTGTTTATACATAACAACAGGATGTCGATATGAACATTGCAGAATCACCTAACAGGTAAATATGATTACCGCGTTATCAATGTCTATATGTATCTCGTTAATTATTATCATCCTAAATGTCTGTTTGTACGTCTAGCTTGAATTCGTCGCCAGCTTTGAAACCAACAATACCCGAGACTAACGAAAAGCTAATGTCTAAGAAACGAAGGGTGCTGGAACACTTTGAGGATTTGACTGATCATTACTTCTCGTGTAGACTTACTGGTGGATGTAAGTAATCAGGATATCAGGAAACATCCTTAACGCAGAGTCTGAACACTTTGGAACCGTTACGAGGAATTCTCTATTACTGATTACCCACTGGTTATACCGTATATACTTATCTTTTAAACATAATCCATCATTTTGTAGATCAAGCTGACGACGGTCTGTCAGACTTTTGCGATTCACTAAGCACCTTTACCCATTATAGTCGATTCAAATTGGTTAATACGTTGAAATACGGCGATATATTCAATACGTCATCTATCGTATCTAGTATTGAATTCGATAGAGATGACGAATACTTTGCTACAGCCGGAGTTACAAAGAAGATTAAGATATTCGATTATGGTAACATTGAAAGGTTGATAGTCAATGCCACCTTTGGTTATTCTTCCATACGAGATGGTCAGGTTGGAGGACGAAAGCCAGCAGAGTTGATTACCCATTACCCTATTAAAGAGATGGCATGTCGTAGCAAGATCAGGTAATGTAATGTGAGATGTATGGGAAATTTGTATGGTTAGTGTGGGATAGAGTATGAAGTAATAGTAATAGTAACAAGGGCATAGTTTATGTCTTATCCGAACTATTTTATCATTATACGTGCCCTATTCAGAGGTTTGCCTACTCGGTTTGATTTTAATCTATTCATTTACTAACCCATCCACCCTCCTTTTATTTGTAGTTGTCTGTCATGGAATACCTACATCAAAACTCAAATTGCTAGTGCCGATTATGATGGTGTAATAACATTGTGGGACGCGCTCATTGGACAACCAGTGTCAATATTCGACGAACATGAAAAACGTGCGTGGAGTGTTGATTTCTGTAGAATGGATCCAACAAAGTTGATTAGTGGAAGTGATGATACAAAAGGTAAAGATTACTGCACTGTTAACATCGCCAACAGAACAATGCTTAGCAATGGCAGTACTAATCCACTATATTTCCTTTAGTCAAACTTTGGTCCACAAATCAGAAGAGTTCGATATGTACGATAGAAAAAAAGGCAAACATCTGCTGCGTTAAATTCAATCCAGACATAAGCCATTATGCAGCACTTGGAAGTGCAGGTGAGCATGAGATGACGTATTACCGTTAAATAAGATAAGATTAACGAGCGGTTCATCTCGTTTATTCGACTATAGATCATCACATCCATTATCACGATCTTCGACAACCAAGAGATCCTGTATTTATCTACAGAGGGCATAGAAAGGCTGTTTCTTACGTTAAATTCATGAACTCGACTCAATTCGTATCAGCGTACGTTCATCACTCAATTCAACGCCTGATATCGTTACAACAAATCCTTTCGAGCTGAATTATTAACATTATTTTTTTTTTCAACAGTTCGACAGATAGTAGTCTCCGACTCTGGGATGCTAACAAACAATCGTGCGCTCGCACTTATACTGGCCATACAAACGAGAAGAACTTTGTGGGTCTAACTACGTCTGCCGATTGGATTTCGTGTGGAAGTGAAGATAATGCTGTCTATACGTATTACAAGAGCTTGTCACAGCCTGTAATTAAATTCAACTTTGGAAGTATCGATATGGTGACTGTAAGTATATTGTGGTATTGAATAATATATAGATGAATCCCTTTCATGGCGTGTATCGTGTATCATTCTCATATCTAATGCATTTGTTTGTTCTCTTTCTCTTTAGGGTGAGGATACCAATGATCATGATCCGTCACTCTTTGTTTCTTCTGTGTGTTGGAAGAAAAATACAAATACTCTATTGGCTGCCAATAGTCAAGGAACAATTAAAGTTCTCGAGCTTGAATGAAAAGGACATAACAACTGCATAATTACTATTTGTAAATTGTACTGTTAATGATATATGGCTTAATAGGATTTTTAGTGGGTTAGGGCTAGGGTTAGGAAAATGGTTAAAATAAAAGCAATAGATTATTATATTCTCCCAAAAGCAACAGCATGCTGTGCAGTGGTTAGAATTTAAATTATTATAGCGTAATCATTAATTCTCTTTCCTAAGGGCAGGTCATTTAAATATGATCCAGACCGCAGACCTTTAATTAATTTCTTTACTAATATAATTCGATCATTTGTTTCCTGGGCAGAATACAGTATGTGATCTAAAAATAAACTTGCGGTCTGGTATCCATGTCCACCGCCCGTCTATAAAATACTCCGATTGACGAACTGCTTGTTGGATGTCGGGAGATCAGTTCAGTTTTTTTGGGTGAAATACCATGCACGACGCGAGATTTTAAAGGTTCTCGGAGGTGGTTCAGATGCAAGAATTAAACTATGATGTAGACTCAAGCATTTCTGCTTGATAGTTTATTCCTTTAAATAGACGTTGATTAAAGGCTATTGGATTGTTAGGCTAATTAGCAGATTACGTGTTATCCATTTCAAAGTCAAGTTCAAATATACGATTTGTGGTACAAGTGAGTGCTAATGGGATTTTCCTAATAGAGACAACAATGTGTGCATTATGGCGAAGGAAGATTGAACATAGAGAACGTATGAATGTGTAGCCATGATATGGGCATGACAAGTAGAGCCATTATATTAGATGACTATGTACAACGCGCAGAGTGACACCATAAATTATATGTATGAAAAGGAGAGACGGAACTCCAACGGGCAAATTGCCATCAAGGAGGTGATAAGGATATCCTGTCAATGTTGATTGTAGAGCGCGCGAATGATGGTAATTGTTAACAGTATTATGTTAGATCGCTCAATATCGGTATTTACATCACTACCAGCGTCTCTACTATCAATGAGTCGTTAAGTTAGATAATACTCATTACGTCCTCGGTTCTTTCGAACATGACGACGGGCCCAGTTATGTCTTCTAATAAAAACACAGTTGATCAATTTTGAAGCTCCTGCTTTGACTAGCAGATGAGAAGTTGTAATCTAGTTCATGCTTCAAGGCTTTGCATATCAATACGAAGAACGTAAAGTGAAAAGTCCAACTTTGTAGAATTCGGGTGACATTAAGTATTACTATCGTTGGAGCAAGGGTTACAAGTGCCAGAATAATAGAAAAGAGACTTGTTGCGAAAAGTAGTGACACTACTAGACAGTTGAGCAAAATATTCGATAAGATCCTTCGGCTTGAACAAAGAGTCCAGGTTTGTATGTTTAATGCAAATACGAGTTTGCGAACTCTGTCTACAAGCGAGGTGCTTAAACGTATGTGTTATATTCTGCGTTCATAATTCAATATCGAACTACTGGCTGATGATGGTGATGGTTTATGATACCTGGGTTTCGTTGTGTCTTGATTGTCACGGTGTTTCGGATGTAGATATGTGGGTTGCATGTCTAAAAGTACCCACTTTTCTTAATTAAAGGGAAATGTCTAATCTCAATGATACTCGATGAATATTAAAGATAATGTTTATAGTGTCTTTGTGACGAACGATCGATGATATGTGTACGTGATGAATAAAAGTTGAAATCTGATTCCCGTCCATTCGCTCTGGTTGATCCAAACCATAATCCCACTTTCCTCATCTCCATCCAATATCACTTTCTTTACACTCAAATCTCTGCTTCCATATTTTAATCAAACAAACTTTTCCGGTCGTAGCTGCTGTCTAGACGTCCTCTTCTTTTTCCTAGATACATATAATTCGTATGCCAATGCGTGCAAGTCTGGTGGGAATGGAGATGGAATTTCACTTTTTCCTGGCCGTGAGATCGGATTCCGTAAGTACACGATTGAGCACGTGTTAAAGTTGACCTCTAAGTAGTCCGGTATGAATATGAACGGTTGCATAAATGGGCGACGAACAAAAGTGAGTCCAGACTCAGTAGCTGGTTCACTAAGAAGCGGAATTGCATTAGGAATGACAGAGATTATATCGCCTGGAGATGCTTGGTGTGAGGGGCTTGGCGTCTTGATAAGCGTAGAACAATTAAGATGGATTAGTAGACTTGATGAGTTATGCTAGCTAATACATCCTCAGAAAAGTAAATTGTATTCCAAGAATCATTGATCAATACCTTCACACCATTCACTGACACCTTTCCATGTAAAACCATTTGTCTGGCCTGCCAAATACTCGTTGCTAGACACGCTCTGAATACAATGGTATCCAGTCTCCTTTCTATACTGGCAAACGTCAGTACAACGGCAGGAGGATGCTTTTGGTCTTTTTCTTGCCCGGCTACTCTAGTATTGCTCGTTGGTATTTTGGGATTAAATAATCTAAGAAATTGTCTTTCGTTAATTTGTCCTCCATGATATGCACGTGTTTCTCGTTTTGCGGTCCATTTCTGTTGATAGAGTGTGCGGTTTCCTAGGCGAGGCGCTTGCCTGCCACGCGTGGCAATCGTATACAAATTATATTTCGACCATGACATACGGATCAGTTGACGAGCGAATGTATCTTTTGGCTTGCGCATATTGAAATGTAATTTTTTTTCCCCCGTATGATCGTAACGAGACGACATCTATTGAATCACGTGAAATCAGTATAAAGTGTACTGTGCAACATCTATCGTTGACAAAATAATACAGTAGGAGAGTGTGGATTTCAGAAGACCTCAAATTTCCGGATTTCGTCACATTTCTTGTTGATAACTAAATAATTTGTGAATACTGTGGCAATTGGTCGATAACAGCTCAATTCCATGTATAGACAGACACTGATATCTCGACTCGAAGAAATCTGTACTTTCATAACTGAATGTCCGATTCAGAGAACAATGGAAGAGTTTACCCGATCAATGTTGGAAGAGTACTCTTCTAGCAACTCGGCATTCGATTTTTAGTCATCCAGTAATAGCTCTCGGAGACTAAATTTGACGTAACACTTAATCCGTCATTGTAAGAGTAAGTCGCTTACTTGACCTTCTTCTGGATAACCAATTCCTGTTTCCAGTTACTACAAACGATCACCCGCAACTGATTCTGACTTTTGGGCATACATTGAGATTACATACTTTCCTTCTTCACCCATTAGTTTGCCTATAGTTCTCTATCTTACGCCAATTTTAAGATATTCATCTGATCAGAGGATTTAGTGTCTTGATTGCGGTCGTCAGTTCTGTTAAATGGGGATATCGTAGACGTGAAGACATTGTCTGGATCAAGACTAACAAAGCCTGGGGGTAATTGGTAAACCTTTATGATGTCTGCTGGTTTAGATTAGATTCTTTTCTGTAAGTCCATATAGAATTTATAGGGAGATTGGTTTATAGAGTCTGAATTAGAATCGCAATTGATTAAGGAACATAACATACAGATGGACATTTATACTATTGCATTTTTGATACGTGATTTGGAAGTAAGCGATGGGGAGCATTGCGGTTTTAGCAATGAAGTATATTTCTGATGCTTAGGATTAATACGTATCTGATATCTCATAGGCGGAAGAATTTTATTATACAAGTGGGTCTCGATATAACGACACGCTCGGTTCCAATCCAAATGGTCACTATATCGAGAATGTCAGAATTAACTTACCTAAGCAATATAAAATTTTCGTTCTAAGATTTCTGTCGTTATATAGCAGTGTCGTTATATCGAAACTCACTTGTATAATATCTGATTTCACAGCACAGGAACATTAACACCGAAACATATGGGTTATATTGCAAAACCCAATTCATACTCTAAACCTGTTTGAATAGGGTTTTGTTATAGGGCTCACGTTCTGCATTTACGTATAGAAATTGGATTTCTGAGACCGATGTCTCGCTCCTCAAGGTGGAATCCAACAACAAAAGGCCCCAATGCCATGCAAATTTCTCATAGATGACCGTAACTTGACTATTTAATGTAATTTTGGTCTGCAAACGCAAGATGAAAATAACAAATCATACAAGTATCTTTAATTTTTCAAGACTAATACTAATGAATGAGACCAAGCTTGTGTATGAATTTATCCAGAGAGAACAAAAATATAAATCAACTGAGTGATGTACCAACTATGTTAGGCTTAACACAAAGTCGACATAGACGTAATCACGTGACAGCAACTGTAAATAGTTATAAATTCTCGGAGAGTCGAACCTCGTTCACGAATTTTCACGAATTCAGAATTATGAATTTTAAGGTGTTGCAAGGCCCATTAGAAAACGGTATAAATTCTACCACACAGCATACGCAACCATGTATTCGTAGTAACAGTCTTTCGCAATGTCTCGTAACGCCTGTTTTATGTTTACACTCGCATAGAAAAAACGTTATCAGTGGAAGAAGCAATTATTCCGTCAGAGGGTTTCCCGTGACATCTGTTATTACCATCCTAAAATAATTGTTTCAGTGAGTGACTTAGCTCCTGATATAGTCTAGGTCATTGGCCTTATGATACATCTCATTCGATTCTCAAATTGTCGAACGATGTATTCGATGAATAATATTTAACTAAAGCGTCTTTGATCGCTAGAATAGTCTCCTCTTCCATACATGGCGTGGTCTTCGATTTGTGTCCAATTATTCCTTCGGAGAGCATTAAGGCGAGGTAACATTAATTGGTATTTCCCGTTTTGTACAATGTGGTCAATATTTACGTGTAATACGTATCGGCCGCTGTGAACGTTCTTCATTGGTTCTTGAAGATGTGTTTGCCGAAGATCTCATTTCATACTATGATGATATGGTTACTCGTCTCTTTTATTATTGGCAAAATACCTGTTGTAAGAAGTTAAACGTTACACACGGATCGGTTATTAGTGTTAACGTTGTGCTTGAAAATTTCTTATTCAAACGATGTCGTTAGCATCAGGGACTGTTAATAATCCAGCAATTGACAACTTGGTTCAATCCTCCTTGGAAAGTGAATATAAATTAAGACTTGGATGGATTTCTTGGTGGAAAATCACCAACATAGAGCCAACTCAAATTGACAACGTCCATCACGCTCGTCGTCGTCGTCGTCGTCGTCGTTACGACGATAAGATAATGCTGTTATGCCTTGGAAACAGAGGAGAATGTACACAAACACTTGTTAGTGAGTTTGCCAGAATATACTCACTTCCGACACACAAGCACGATAGTAATAGCAACAACTTCAAAAGATATTCCAAATGGCTTAAGGATCGCAATAAATGGATAAAAGGATTTACCGAGTATGATGATAAATGTTATATTGTTGCTGATGAACGCTTTTACCATTGTTACTCTCGATATGGATTCTGCTCCACGTGTGGGATACTCCGATGTAGTCCCGTGTGGTGCATTTGTGGACATAACAATAAGCAATTATCCGATAGATGGACTAGCAACAATGACCAACTCGATGAGTTTATTAAGAAATCTCAACTACAAACAAACTCACCAAATGATGCCTATTTGGAATGGATTCCATTTGATTGTATTGATGACAAGGGATATGGACATGGATACTTGTATGGTCTACCTGTTCATGCAGATGTTGAATTGATTCCACTTGAGATAACATACGAGACACATGATTTATATTATGCCGAGGTAAACTAATTACTTATGCGTCATGTTTATTGAATAGTTCAAATAATTATTGACTTTTTAGCATGTATCATTTCCACTAGTTATGTGATAAGCATCCAGATATTCTTACTATGGATGTTTGGGTTACCATCGGATTCACATATGATGCAAGTGAACAAAGGTATTATCTCATAAAACAGCGTGATGATATTGGTTCATGTCTGGCATGTAGAAGTCTGTTAGAGCCTACAATAAATGCATTCTGTTATTGGTGTAAAGCACCACAACCTCTTGATTGGGCTACAGGCAACAAGTCATTGGATTCATTTATTATGGAGTCATGGAAGAATACAAAGAATAAACGTGATGCATATATACAATGGATTGAATACTCTCTATTATCAAACATACAAAAGATGACATCATTACACCATGGATGCACACATATAGCAGAATGGACAACAAATGAATTGACATATGCATGTGTGACTCTCAAAAAGATAGTTGATGATCAGTTATTTGATTTTCATCAGGTAAATTATTTCACGTGTAAAATGCAAATAGTATATTAATGTGTGTATCAAGCAGATTTTGTTGTAATGACTGTATTTGTTTACTCACATAGCTAACTAAGGAATACCCTGAGATATTAACACCTGATAATATTTGGATAATTGGGATTACTCAGGTGCCATCTACTCGGGAATATTATTTAGTTTTCTACCACAACATACACTCACTATTGGATAGATTTATACAACTTAACAAAGATGTTAAGTACATGCAGTATGGTGACTTTTACGAACTCAAAGAGATCGGGTCTGGAGGTTACGGAACAGTTTATACTGCCAAATATAAAAAGTATTCAGAAGTATATGGTATGTCACAAACTGTTGCACTCAAACGGTTTAAGAGTTTTGATGAAACGCCGGAATTATTTATTTCCGAGGTAAGCAATTGTTGATGTTATTAAT